TCCTGTTGGCCTTGGTGCAGGCCCCTGTCAGGGCCAAATATCCATGGGGCTGACAGCCCATCACCCACCCACCAGCGGGAATCCCCTCTGCCATCTCCAAGCCTTGGGACCTTGTGGGGCCCTTGTTGGTAGAGGTTGTGAGAGGCACGGCCCAGGTGGCCCCCTGCCCGGGAAACGAGGGATTCAGGCAGGGTGAAGGTGCGTCGGGGCCTGGGGCTCATGTGCATGCTGCCCCATCCCCGGGCATCAGGTGGAGCTATGCTTTCTTTCTCCCACGAGGTGTAGCCTGCAGTGAGAAGCACTCATGGGGCTACACTGGTGAGTTCTGTGCTCTGGGCCCCAGCAGGCGCCCCTGGAGCTGCCGTCCTGACGTCTGGCCTGGACTGGCCCTGCCCGCCCCGAGCTGCCGGTGGCCAGGGTCACACAGCCTCCTTTACCGACGCGGGGAGGGGCTGGCCAGCCGTGCCCGTGGTTGGCACCTCTCATGGACGCTGCCGTCCCTCTGCCCGTTGCGTTGATGGGCTTGTGGGCTGTCTCCGGTGTGGCCCACACGAATGTCCTGCTCCGAGCGTCCTGGTGCATGTCCTTGGTGCCCGTGACTCCTTGCAGGGAGGGGGCTTGGGGCTCCTGGCCAAGGCGAGTGTGGGTCTCCCAACGTGGCTGCACACTTTCCACGCCCGCGCTTAGCCTGAAGTGCGGCCGTGGGCTGGGGTCCTTGCCGGCGGCCGGGCGGCCTCGGTCCTGCCGCTGCCTTCTCCTTACTGATCTGCGGGCTGTCCTTTCAGAATCCGGACACGCCTGGCCGGCCGCGTGGCTCACAACTGTCTTGACACCCTGGAGCCCTCTTCTCCACTCTGCATGGAGCTCTGTGAGGAGCAGAGACCACTTAGGCACTTTCTCTTTCAGGAAGAGCACCTTCGAGGCCACAAGGGAATGCCACATCCACCATTTTTAGCGTAAATCTCTGTCTCGTGGCCCCTGACTCTAGGCTGTGCTCCTGCAAGCTCGGGGGCTCCCTGATGGTGTCACCTCACACGCAGGCCCAGCCCAGCGTGGGGGCCCCGTAGCATGTCCCGCGAGCCTGCCAGGGGGCTCCATGGCAGGCTGAGGGGTGGACCCCGACCAGCCCCGTCAGCAGAAAGATCCTGAGTGGACCGGAACCTGAGAGTCACACGGAGAGCCACGGAGCCAGGGCCTGGGCTGAGAGTGTGGGTGTAGGAGCCTGGTGTACAAGGGAGGGCCTGGCACAAAAGCCCTGTTGCCTGAAGGTTTCTGGTGCTCCTCACCACCAGCACTGTCGCCCCAGCTCCTGCAGTAGGGGCTGAGGCCGGGGCACTGGCCCGTGTGGGCCCTGGGACACTTGTTGTGGTGAGATGGGCGGGAATGGATGCAGAGGTCACGCGGAGGCTACGTGGCTTCAGACGTTTCTGGAGGGGGTTGCATTGCCGAGCTGATGGCCCTCAGGGGTCTGGGCAGTGCCGTGTGGGGGCAGAGAGGCAGAAGGGTCCCCGACGGTGCCCGGTGCTGGCCTAGCGGCGAGGGTGCCCTGCGTCCAGGCCCCGGGAGGGGTCTGGCGAGAAGGTGGCGGCAGCCATCAGTGGCAAGCATGCTTTCAAACCCCACCTGTGTTGCAAGGGGCTTCTCGAATTTCCACCAAGATTTATTTGAAAAGAAGTGACATGTGAAACCAGAACAGGGTGTGAGGGCAAAGCAGTGTTCTGGAGTCTGAAGCTCTAAAGAAAGTGGGAAGGAAGCCTTTCTTTGTTCTGTAATCAGTGTCCTGACTGCGAGGTGGGAACAGGGGCACAGGGTTCCCACCCGCTCCCTGGAGAGGAGGTATGAAAGTCTCCGCCAGCCACCATGGGGTCCCCAGGGAGGGGGGCTTTGGCTGAAATGGAGTCCCTCCGTGTTAAAGGATTATAAACCCTGTTTAGCACTCAAGTTCTATACGCTTTCTAACTTCTAGGTTCTCTTAACATGACTTTCTTATCTCAAAAAATAAAACCCAGCAAAGTCTCCAAGGAGCTCTGGAGGTGGGATCTGGCTTTCCCGGCTTCCGATTCCTGGCTGCAGGCCCTCCTTCAGCACCGCCTCGGCGGGAGCTGCCCCCCAGAGTGGGTGGCCCCAGAGTCCCCCACAGGACGTCCTGAGCTGGGGACTGGCAGCGGCCATCCAGGGGGCACTGGAGGTCATGCAGAGGACAGGGTTTTTACGATCTGGCCATCTGTCCCTTCAAAACCAGGAGGTTTTCCTACAGCTATAAAATTGTCTTATTTTGAAAGATTTCCAACCTACAGAAAAGTGCAAGACAACTGTGAGAGCCACACAACCCAGCCTGCCCCATAACGTCCTCCGCAGCTTTCCCTGGCCAGGCTGGCCGGTTCTCGCCTCTGTGTCCTCAGGTGACAGTGACGTTTTGGAGGAATCAGGCATTGTTTGCAGAACCCCAGAACCGGTCCAGTGCTCAGGGCGGAGAGCCTGCCCCGCCCTCCTCAGAGCCCGAGCTGTGTCCCCAGGGCAGGCTGCAGGGCTTGTGAGCCGGGAAGCCACCCAGACGCAGCCGTCACAGGGTGTGCGCCTGGGGCCTGGGGCCTGGGGCTCCTGCTGAGAGCCGGGGCCGGGGGAGGGGCAGACACCGCGTCTGGCCTGTGCCCGTCCACTGCCCGCCACCCCCCACTGCCGCAGCCCCCTTCCTGAGCCACAGCAGGAGGGCAGGAGCCATGGGATCTTGGGTGGTCCCCTCAGAGAGAATTCTCCCCGCCCTGCCAGCTAGGAGAGTCCAACTGCCACAGAGTCGTGAAAGGCTCCTGAAGTGACCTCTCCCCTCCTGGACTTCTGTCCCCTGCTGTCCTCACCTTGCCCCCTGCCAGATGGCTCACCACACACTGTTTGCTCTGAAGAAGTGACTTTGGTTTTAAGTAAAGGGGCCTCCCTCCCCTCCCCCTGCCTCTGGAGCATCTGGGGCTCCTTCTGCTCGCCCCTCTTCCTCCCCTCCCTTTCTCCCTGCCCTCCCGCCCTCCCGGGCCGGCTGGGCTTTCAGTCCAGTAGCCTTGTGGGGCGTCTCCCTCTGTGGCAGGAGCTGACCTTTTCAGGACTGGCCCCAGGCCCACAGAGGTGAGCACCCGCGTGGGGGCCAGGCTCTTCCAGCCTAAAGGCGCCGACTTCCTGGGAGAGGTGGTCTTGGCTTCCTGGACCCGGGGCAGACAGCACCCCATCCCTCGCACATCCTCCCTGGTGGTTCCTGGACAGCAGGCTCCCAGCCCCGAAGGATGAGCTGAACTCTTGAGCCAGGAAAGTTGGAGGATCAGCCATGGCCTTTGAAAAAGGGAGAAGAGAGTCACCCCCCAGCCCCCTGTGAATGACCCTTCACCTCTGGACCTCAGTTCCTCATCTGTAAAGGCGTGGGTCCCACTGGTGAGCTCCTGTGGTCACAGGCCACTTAGTCTTGCTCGAAAGCTCCCCACACCCCAGGGCCAATAGCTGTGGTGACCAGTGGTGAGTGCAGGCGCGGTTAGGGCCGGGCAAGCCGTTTCCACACCTACCCTTCAGCGCCACGCTCTGCAGCTTTGCTGAGCAACGCCCAGACTTCAACAAAGCCGACCCTTCCCTGAGAAGGACCCCTGGAAACCCTTCTATACTCTGGGGGGGGTCTTCTCCCCCACCTTTCTTGCTGCTGCCCTAAGAAGGCAGCTGAAGGCACCTCCACCATCTGACACTCCTGACCCCTGCCACAGGATTCCGTATCTCTCTGTGGAAGCTGGGGTGTGAGGGTACACAAGGGCAGCCCTGGGCAGCCCACGGGCCCAGGTCCCCCCGGGGAAGCTGGTGCTGGTGCTGGTGCTGGGTGGGGCCGGGAGCCTGGGGACACCTGACCGACTTCTTTTGATTTTAATTGAGAATGGACTTTCTGAATTTGGTTTTATGTTGTTTGTTGTTAATATGAAAAAATGCAAAGAAAATGCAGATCTTTGTAATGCCAAGGCCCAGAGATAACCGCTGACCTTCCGGTGGACTGTTCCCGGCGCATTTTTCAGCTGTGATGGCCCCTCCTGGTGATCCTGTTGCAGTGTCCTGACCTTGCTTGCCCTCCTGTGCTGCTGCTTCCTGGCTGTGAAACACAATCTGTTCAGGGCTCGTTGCACCTAGTCGCCATCACTGCTTGGATGTTGGAACTTATTTTCACTCTGATTAACATTTTATTGTTCTTTCCACGTGTCCTTTGTTCAGGAGCTGGAAGACGCAGGCCAGTGGCAGCCTGGGGGCTGCCTGGCTGGGGTCCGAGCTGCCCTCCCTGGCCCTTCCTTCCCTTACCTGGCTGGCCCGGCAGGGCCCAGGCAAGGAAAGGGAGGGCTCCCCAGGGTACAGGCTGGGAATCACTCCCTTGAGCAGAGGGGAGAGGCCTGGGGTCCTCTGCGGGCCGGGGCCTGTCTCAGGCCCTTGGTAACTTGTCTGGGTTATGTCCCTTGAGGACGGAGCCCCCACAGCAGCCCCGACAGCTGCCCACACAGCGGCCTCCGCTCCCCACCCTGTGCCCTTGCTAAGCATGGCTCCCTTCGGTTGGAAACCCCTGCGCTGGGGGCGCCTGAGCCAGGCACGGAGGGAGAGCCGAGACCGGATCCCAACTTGGTCTGGTGGGTGGGTGGGGGGTACTGCTCTGTCCTCTAGGGATCCAGACTGCGTGTGGGGGGGACCCTGCGGGCAGGGGCCAGCTGGGGGCACGGTGGCGGGGAGGATGGGGCGGGCAAAGGCCTGCTCTGGGCGGGCTGGGTGACTCTGGGGGAGGGGGCGCCCTCAGGGCGCGGGAGGTCCCGGAGGGCAGGCTGGGGGAGGGGACCTCTGCGGAAGGCGCCCCGCCCCGCCCCGCCCCGCCCCGCTGAGCGCAAACTTTTCCGGAGGCCGAAGGGACGGCAGGTGAGGTCACGTGGCCAGGGGGCGGGGCGAGCCAGGCCGGGGGCGGACCGCGCGGACCCCGCCCCTGCGCCCAAGTCCCGCGGCGCGTCGGCAGAGCGCGGGCCGGAGCGGAGACCGGGGCGCCATGCCCACCAACTTCACGGTGGTGCCGGTGCAGGCGGGGGCGGACGGCGGCCAGGACGAGGCGGCCGAGGGGGCCGAGGCGGCCGAGGCGGCCGAGGGGGCCGAGGCGCCGGGCCCCCCCGAGGGCGAGCCCGACTGCCAGAGCCCGGGTGAGCGCGGCCGCACCTGCCCGCCGGACAAAGGCGGAGCCGGGCTGCGCGGGGCCCGGGGACGGCCGGGAGGAGGGGCGGCCCCGGAGGGGGGCCGAGGGCGACCCGGGGGGCGCCTAGAGGAGGGGGACGCAGCGAGGTCGTCCCGAGGCAGCCTGCTTTCCGCGCACTCTCCCCAACCCCTTCCTTCCGGGGTCCCCCCAGCCGTTCCTCCCTCGCCACTACGTCTCACCTCCCACGAACCCCCTCTTGGCGCGCCCCGCTCGCCCCTTGCCTGCAAAGCCCCCTCACCAGGCTTATCCCGGGGACGCAGGGCTCCTGCCGCGCCCAGTGCTCCCAGGGGCTGTGGGCTCGGCTTGGCTGCTCCGTGCCTGGCCCACCCCCACTGGGACACTGGAAGCACCTTCTGTCTCCCACTCTGCGTGGGACGCCCGGGGTAGCGATGGGAACGGGGAGAGGCCTCCCCCTCCGTGAGAAAATCCAGGCCCCCCAGGTCCCGGGCGGGTCGGGGTAGGGCCGCCGGAGTGCCTTCCTGCTTCCTTCCTGTTGCCTTTGCTCTTGCGCGCTGGGGCAAAGGGCCTCCGGTCCGATAAGCCCGGCTGAGAGCCCAGGTCTGCGCGCCGCCCGACTGCCGCCGAACCCGCTCTTTTATGGGGTCATCCGCAGGAAGGTCGGCCGGTCCCCGGCGGGCTGGGGGAGGCGCCGCCCCAGCCCCGCTGAGCTGTGCTCTGCCCCCGGGTCCTCCATACCCTCTTTGTTTCTGGACTCGGGAGGCGTCTAGCGCTTTCACTTTCTCTTGGGGGGATCCCCCAGCACTGCTCCCTCTGTCCTGCAGGCTCCAAACCCCAGGTTCCCTGGAGCAGATGAATGGGTCGCCCCCAGTAGGTATCCTCTAGAATTGGGGGGGGTCCTCCGAGAACAGCCCACAGCCGCGGGTCTCACTCCACTGTGTTTGGGTAGCGGCTCCCTGCTCCCAGTGGCCCAGACCCCTGGGGCCAGGCCAGGCACCTTCTGAGAGCACCCACCGTCAGGTGCACCCCCTCCCTAGGTGTCCCCTCTGTCTGCGGGGTGAGGCCCCTGTCCAGCTTTCCTGTGCGTGTCCTGGGGCCTGGGACAGGTCACCAGACCAGGTGTCAGATGAAGGCAAGGTCTGTGCACCCAGCCTCCCCCTGGTTCTGAGCACGCTCTGGCATTGTCCTGGGTGAGCCGCGTCCTAGCGGCCAGCAGAAGTGCATCACGTTTCCCCGGGGAGCCTCCATGCCTGCACATCCTGCTCCCCGCCGCTGGCCCCTTCTTGGGCGGACTGGTCCCTTCTTTCCAGACTTGGAGTGTGTCTTGTTTTGAAGCCGGGGTAATTTTCTTCCTGCTCGTTTCCTTGTCCCTCCACTTAGGAGCTCCACACGGTGGTCTTGGGCCCGTGGGCTCAAGAGTCGGGTGCTGCAGCTGCCAGGAGGCCTGGGCGTCCTGCCCAGCGGGGCCGGTGGGAGGCCGGGGTCTTGAGCCCCCGCCCGCCCTCACTTGAGTGCTGCCCAGGGTCTTAACCTTCATCCCCCTTCTTTCCTGCCAGGGGCTTGCCTGGAATCTTAGGGCCTGGCGTGCTCTCTGACTCCCGGAGTGTGGGCGGACGCAGACATGGCTTTCATGCTCACCTTGTAATGACGCTTGCCGTCTGAGCTGAGCCAGCACAGAAGTTCCCTGGGTCTTCGACAATTTGTGCTCTACACTCTTCCTTTCCCTCGGAAAGAGACGGGGGAGCGTCCCCCGCGTGTCACTGTGTGGTTGTCTTTCGGGGATTCTGCTGCGGTGGGCTTTGATGTCTCACATGAGGTTCTGGAGTGCAGTTGGTGCTCAGAGGTGCCAGGTGACTGGCACCGTGTCACCAGCCTGACGAGGGGGCTGTCAGGGAAGGTCCTTAGCGAGCTGGGAAGGCCAGACTGGAGCCCCTCCTGAAGGCCCACTTTGCGGGTCAGGGTGCAGGGTGCACGCCCTGAGGTCCCAGCAGTGGCCACGTCTGGCCCCATCACAGGATTGCTGGCACTCAGGCCAGTCCCCCCGGGGATGTTCCCGCCTTTCTGGGTGGACCTCCTGGTGGTGGTGAAGCATGGCTGGGGAGACCCTCCTGGGGTGTTTCTGGAAGCCCTGGGCTGTCTGGAAAGAGGAGGCCTGAGACCCCGTAGGTTGAGGGCCCAGGGCGTGCTGAGAGTGACTGGCAGGCCCGGAGGAGTGGCGCTCTCCTCAGCAGGCCGACCTGGCCTGGCAGAGCTCAGTGGGACCGTGGGGTCTGCCCTGCCTCGGTGAGGGCCAGTGAACTGTGACCCAGGGCTGGAAGGAGCCTGAACGCATGCCCCCCCCCCCGGTTGCTGTTCCACGCACCCCAGGCAGATGCTGGTGTCAAATGCCTCCTGAGGCCGGGTCTTGTCTCCCCCCACCCCAGCTACAGGCCCTCAATGCGCAGGCCGGAGGAAGCCAAGCACTGACCTTAACTGGCCCGCCGCGTTACCCCTGGCCCTGCCCCTCCGGTAGGCCTGTGGCAGGTGCTTTAGAGCCAGGAGGACGGGGCTCTTGACCCAGGTGGTGCTCTGGGGAGGCCTGGGCCCAGGGAGGGTTGGCACAGGAGGTGGAGGCCAGGATCAGCATCCTGCTGTGGACCCTCCCCACCCTCTGCCAGTGAGGTGGCGGTGTGTTCTGGAATGGCAGTTTGCCTTGCTGGGGGTCCTGTGCCTTGTCAGGACATTGATTCTGTGTTTTCTTGTGATTGGGGATTGCAAGTGGGCAGGATGGACTCTGTGTGTCTCTGTGGCGTTGGTGAACCACCTCTCGGGAGGTGACGAGGAGTAGGATGCTTTCCTAAGTTCCAAGTGTGGGGTTTTTACCGACTTCAGGGAACCCATGTCGCTGTTGGGCCTGGGTGGAGCCCCTCCTGGGCCTTGGGGGGGGGTCCCTGGGTCAGGCAGGTGTGCATGTGAGGCATGGCCACAGGTTGTGGGCCCCCAGCGGAGGTCGGGCTCAGCCCGTGGAGGGCTGATTGGACCGCTGCCCTGTGTCCCCGTCCCTGGCTGAGACTGTCCAGCTGCCTCGTCTCCTTGGTGAGTTCCGCTCTGCAGCTCAGCTCCTGCTGGGCACCCAGGGGTCTCTTCCCTCTAAGAGGCGGGAGTACTGTGCTTCCCGGAGGCACTCACCGGGACGGTCCCCGGGCAGCGTCACCCACGCTCTGCCAGGGCGTGTGGCGGGCTGGCCATCGGGCAGTGGGCCGCACTCTGAGGCCATGACCCCAGACCTCAAGCAGCGTTTCTGTTGGCGTGTGGCTGCTGACGGGCTGTGCGGGGGGATCCTGGAACAGGGTGGTCAAGGAGTGAGGACAACATGGCTTCCAGGTTTGGTTCAGGGCAGGAGGACGGTGCCGCGGTGGCTGTTTGAGTAGAAAGGACAGGCCATGCGGCTGTCCTGTTGACAGCGCCTCCGAGCACCGTCCTGGGGAGTAGCTGTTAGCAGTCCATGTGCTGTTCAGGGAGATGTCACAGTGTTAGACCCCGGGTGGGGGGCAGGGCTACCACACATGGTTCTGTGTGCGAGGAGCAAAGGGGAAGTTTACCGAGTAGTGTGCAGCCGAGTGCTTGATCACACAGCCTCTGTGCACCTTTTGACGTTCCCAGATGGTCTTCAGGGGACAGGCCCTCTTCTCGAATAAGTCCCCCTGCCGAGTCCATGTGTGTGTGCATGTTTGCGTCTGTGCGCACACGTGAGTCTGCATGTTTGCGTGTGCACACATGTGAGCCTTGTTTGTATGTGTACGCATGTGGGTCTTAGTGTATGTGGGTGTGTGCATGTTTGCACATGTGTACATGTGGGTCTCTGGGCACGTGTGCATGTTTGTGTGCATAAACATGGAGGCGGGTACAGGGGCTTGGTGGTCACGTGGTGTTGGGGTGTTCTTTCCCTCAGCCCCCAGCGGACCCCGGCTCATGAAGGGGGCTGGAGGTGCGCCTCCGGGGGTGCCAGCCGGGCTGTGGGAGCAGTGGTGAGACACGTCTGTGCCTCTGATCTGAGATCTGTTTCCGTGACCAGTACAAGGAGCCTTGCTACATAGAGCTAGGTCTGTGTTCAGGAAAGTTCCTCAGAAATTCTCAGTTTGATACCCACTGAGCTGGAGCAGGTATCTGCGCTGTGGACACCAGCGGTGGCGGTCACTGCTTGGGGAAGGGGGTTGTCCGCCATGAGGGGAACGAGGGACACCTCTGAGGGTCTGGCCCCCATGGCAGCCGCCCAGGGGTCCGCTGGGCGCTGGTCACCGGCAGCTGCCGTCCATCCTGTGAGACTGCATGTGTGCCACGCTGGTCCATCACGGCCTTGGGTGCGTCAGCGAGCAGAGCAGTCTGTGCCCCCCTTCTGGGCGCGCAGAGGCTGCAGGGACCGGCATGTGATGTATGGTGCCCTGGGGAGGCTGGAGCGCCATGAGGTGATGGCTGTTGGCGTGGCCTCTCCGGAGGGGCGGTTGGGTGCTGGGCATGGCGGTGCCAGCAGTGAGAGTGGCCAGGAGGAGGGCTAGGCCCCTCCATGCGGAGACCATGGGCTTTGGGGCCTCTTCAGTTCTGATGTCTCTGGCTGTGTGGCGTGTCGGAGCTCCCCGTGGCGTGGAGGCACCCTGGAGCCTGGAACTGGCCCCGCCTGGTGAACCCGCCACCCACCAGCTGCTGTTCATAAGGTGGGCTGTGGCTGGGAGCAGGGAGCAGCTGGCCCCGCAGACTGACCCTCTGCCCCGCAGCGCTCTCCGGTGATGGGCACAGGGGGGGCCTATGGCTGGCTGAGGGTGATGGGGACCAGCAGCCTGCCCCTCGCAATGCAGCCCCCGGCTGAACCTGAAAAGCGGCGGCCTGGGGGGTGAGCCTGGCCCCAGACAGAGAGGCGCGATGAGTCAGGGTTTGGACACTGAGGTGGCCCAGGGGAATTCCGTGGAAGGGCCGGCGGGGGCGTGGCTGGAGGAGCGCGTGTGGTGTGGGGTG